ACGCCGGGCACCCGCCTCCATCCTGCTCCATAAAGCCACGACCTGAATTGCCGGGCGGGTGCCAGCTCTGTCGCACACCGTCCAAAAAAAGTTGCCTGACCCTTAATAGCGCATAATTCATCCCCTCCATTAGCCAGCAATAAAGCGGCGCATCTCACCGAGCGGGGCGGATTTGCATTTCCTAGATCGGTTGCAGCCACCGCGTGGCCCCGCCGCTTAAAAAAAAAAAAAGGATTATTAAAAATATTTGTCCCCAGTTCCCCAGAAGCCCCATGTAATGGCTTTTTCATTTTGAGCAATGTGTTCACACACCGCTTCTCAAACAATCTGTCCCGCTCTGGTTTTACTTAACGCTCGGCAGCGATTGTGTTACAGTTGCTCTCCGGGCGGCTCTCCCCCACCCTGCTGCAGGATGTACCCGTAAAACACGAAATGCATTTATTCACGATTTTCTAAATTGTTTCATTTCAGAGGTTTACAAACGAGGACCACCTGGCGGTTCATAAACATAAGCATGAGATGACATTGAAATTCGGCCCTGCTCGAACTGACTCAGTCATCATAGCAGGTATGTGGCGTTCAATCCAGGCCAGCTCTGAAAACGGTGCACATTAATATAGCATGACTGCAAGATTAATACCAGGGACCAGATGCACTGAAAAACGTCTCTACCTCCCATAAAAAGCTCTTGTGATCTGCATTTAATCAGGAGGAAAGGAAAGCCAGAGGCTTCCAAGTTTCTATTTTTTTTTTTTCCTTTTTTATGGTAGTATCAGGTTTTGTGGGGGTTGGGGGTTTTTGGGGTGGGTTTTTTTTTTTTTAGCTCTCGCCCTTTTTATTAAGACTGGAAGATTTATGGACAAAAGGTCTTTCACGTTTCTGCATGTGCTTTGAGGACGATGAACAAAATCTGACAAACCCAGCTTCCTCTCCTCAGCCCAGGTGTCAATTTTCTTGAGCTTTTAGGCTAGCAGTTAATAAATTAAAATGCCATCGAGTGCACTGGCTACTGCCGAGAGTGCATTTACAGAGCCCAAATGAGGCGCTCTGGCAGCGCACGGTCAATGCAACCTTTATAAGATTGGGAAAAAAAAACCCCCATGTATATTGTTGTCTGGCAGCAGATCATTGCCGGTTACAGATACTCTCCTGCCTTGTCAGTCCCCTTTCGTTTGGGCTTCTTAAAAGGGCGTGAGGTTTGTGTTACCGCTGGATGAAAAGGCTGTTGGCTGAGAACAAGAAACGAGGAGGAAATGCTTTCTTGAAGCCTCGAGAGTTCATAAGGGGAAACGAAGCGTCTGCTGCGAGAGCCTGGCACCCTTTTCCCAGGTTCATCTCCAGCCCAAATTCGGTGTTGAAGTAGGAAATAGCAATTCAGTTGGTTTCTTAAAGCCTCCAAGTTAATTGTAGCTGTGGGTAGGATTGTAAGAGAGCTCGCGCAGCCTTTGCTGGAAGGGCAAAAAGCTTCTCCCGGGGGAGGGCTCACAGAGACGAAACAGGCTCCCAGAGGGAGAATTAATTTCAAATGGGATCAGGCTAATGGGAGTCGATGGCAAAGAATTTGGGGCAGGGGCTGAAAGAAACCTCAGATTCCTAAAGGTCGTTTTTTCTTCAGTTCGCCCCCTTTGTAAACAGGGTGCACAGCGGGAGGGTTAGCTTTTGCTTGATAAACCCAGGGCGTGCATTGGCCAGGCAGTGATGAGGGGGCAGAAATGGGGTACAGTCCTAGCTCCAGCTGAAGTCCCACCTGCTCTAACAGGGATGCAGCATTAAAAGTCCTCATCTTTGCTGCTCCCAGAGGTGTATGTTCCTCCTGTGCACAAACTCTCGCAGGTAAAACCGTGGGTGGGGATGACACACTTCAGTTTTAGCACAAGGAACAGCAGCGAGGGCAGGTCTAGCCCCCTCTCCCAGCTTCTCCGGGCTGATGCTCAGCGGGTTGCTCCAGGGTAAGCCACAAAGCAAAAAAAAACCCCAAACTTACTTAGCTGTGGTCAGTGCAAGACCAGCCTATTTAACACTAGCTTTCCCTGGCTGAGATCTTGATGGCAGATAGAGCTGCCGGGAGGTTTGCGAGGGCTATAAAGCATGCTGGCTTTGAGCGGTGAGATTAGGGCATGATTGCGGGTGGGGATGACACACTTCAGTTTTAGCACAAGGAACAGCAGCGAGGGCAGGTCTAGCCCCCTCTCCCAGCTTCTCCGGGCTGATGCTCAGCGGGTTGCTCCAGGGTAAGCCACAAAGCAAAAAAAAACCCCAAACTTACTTAGCTGTGGTCAGTGCAAGACCAGCCTATTTAACACTAGCTTTCCCTGGCTGAGATCTTGATGGCAGATAGAGCTGCCGGGAGGTTTGCGAGGGCTATAAAGCATGCTGGCTTTGAGCGGTGAGATTAGGGCATGATTGCCCTACATTCCTCATGTCCTTTTTGTTTTGTTTTTTTTTTTTTTAAGCCACCATTTTGTCTCTGGGTTTTCTTGTTCTCTCCCTCCCTCTTGCTTTGTGCCGAGTCCAGGGCAGCAGCCCGTGTGTTAATGAGCAGGAGGATTCAGCATACATCTCTTGCCGTAACTCCGTGGTTAAGCTAAAGAGAGTCGTAAAGAATTGTTCTCTCTCTGCCGGTTATAGCTGGCAGCAGAGAGGCTTATTTAAATGGGAACACGCACTTCTGGGGTGATGCTGTGGGCGGAAGAGCTGCTGCAATTCCTGGAGGTACAAATTGGAGAAGGGTAGGACGAGAGAGGTTATACGGCTTTGCTTTGTGGCATTGTGAAAACTTCTGCTGGGAGATTTGGGCCCCGGGCTGGTGTGCGCGGCTCGGGAGGACATTGCTAAATGGGGAATGGTCCGAAAAGAGCCCTGAGAGCTGTTAAAGCACTGGAAAAACAGCCTCCTGCCGAGATCTTTAGTTGACGAAGTTTCTTGGTTTAATGAAGAGAGATTTGGGGGGAACCGAAGTGTGCTCAGAGGAGGCCTTTGCTTTATTAACAAAACCAATAGGTAGGGTTTGAAGTCAGACTGGAAATAAAGTGCAGTTCTGCGACAGCAAGGCGAAGTAATGGCCGGAGTCGCTTCCCGAAGGCTGCGGGAGACTCTCCACCACTGGCCAGTTTGAAATCAAATGGGATGTTTTCCGTAGACACTTCAGCTCGAGCACAGCTACTGCGCTCAAACGGGGAGCATCCGTGCCAAACAGCCGATGTTTTATGCAGGAGGTCAGGCTAAACTATCCCAGGGATCCCCTTTGTGCTTAAAAATCTATGTAGTTTTCTGCCAGATGGATTCTTTCGGTGTAATGTGCTCGTGCCGGGCTCCCACTAGTACCTGGACTCCTGACCTAACGTCACGCAGAAAAACGAGGCTCGCTGGGAGCGGGGAGATTTCTTTCTGCTTTATAGCCTGGGTGATGGCCAGAGAGATCATGACTCAACGTGTTAATATGGTGGAAAACTGGCCCCAGAGGGATTGCTTTGGACAGTGGTGGTAATTATTAGCACTCCCACGTAGCCGTCTGTCCTAGGATGCGCGTTAATGTACGGAGCCGGCACAGGGAGGGAAGCGACTCTGCCCAGCTCTATTCCACATCAGCGGTGGAACTGCTCCGATCAGCCGTTTCCCCTCTTATCACTCCCTATTTTTAAGATCTGCTGTTTCAGGGAGATCAAACCCCAGTAATTTCCTTCCTTGCAGCAGCAATTCAGATGAGGTACAAGCAAAACCCTGGGGTGGGAGGGACAGGACACGACCCAAAGGCAGGAATTTCACAGAAATCACCGCACGCCTCTCGCCGCAATGATTTTTTTTTTTTTTTTAAAAACAGCATTTTCCAGAGAAACAAAACCAACAAGAAATTATTTTCCCCTTTCTGAATTGTCACTTGCTTTGCAAACGCGACACACACCTTAGCAGAAAAGCATCCAGCCTTTCACAAAACAGAGGCCACATTTGCTAGGGCTCCCCGGAGAGGACTAAGGTGGTTAAAATGCATTCTCTAGCCTCTCTTTAACCGCTGCTTGGTGTTGCAACCCAAACAGATCAGACTCCGACCCCAACTAGGTTCTTGAAGAACTGCGAAGAAGTGGGACTCTTCAATGAACTGGCCAGCTCCTTTGAGCACGAGTTCAAGAAAGCCACGGAGGATGACGAGAAAAAGGCAAGAGGCAAAGGCCACCGTTGCCGTAAATTGAGCCGGGTGCATATTGTGGGGGCTGGAGAGGGGACGGTGCTGTTCTGATGAAAGGCATATGTTGTAGGGTAACTAAGTGTGGTCTCGGATTTAATATGTTGGCTTACATGGGACTATTTTTGTAACTCGGGTGACTTTGGCTGGCTATCCTGCAATCCGAGGCTTGGTGAGAGCGGATTTTAATGGTTTATTATTCCTTTGGCTTTTCACTTCAAAAAAGAAAAAAAAAAAAAAAGCAGACCCGTTTGCTCTGAGGAAGAAAATGAGAA